AAATAAAAAAAAATCCTTGGTATAACCATTGCATTAAAACAAATACTTTTTTGTATTTATTTGAATATCTTAGAAAGTATTTATATTTTAAATACTAAAAAATAAAATAAATAACTTTTTTAATTTCATATATACGAATACTTATCCTATTTCTATTTATAAATCAATTTTAATTGTAAATCAACGATTTATTAATTTAGATATTACATTTTTGACCCTAATTAGCGAAAAAAATTAATATCTCCGAAAATATAGATTCCACCAGTTCGGATGAGTTTTTTTTATTAAACTATTATGTTTATAATTACTATAGGGAATCTATTACAACGCATCTTTGTAAATTTTTTTATAAGTATAATAAATATAGTGAAAGCTAAACGTAATTAAGCTCAACTAAAAATAACATCAAGATAATAAATGGAGAGATTTCATCATCCAGCATAGTGTTGATAAATGGCTTGATTTGATTTTAAAAACAGTTAACTCAATATTTTACCCAGAAGAATATTGCCCGTCCAAATCTTTGTGCCATCTATAAACAAAATCTTCAGACATGCGTTATTCTTTTGGATAAAATATTGAGTTGTCGTTTTTAAAAATTGGCTATTTAATCGTTAACAACACTAACCCAGCAATTTCATTCTTCATCTTAAAGTATTAAAATAATTATATATCCTAAATATATCTATTTTTCCTTGCTTGTTATTTTTGTTAATCAAGTTGAAGTTATGTAGTAAGGAAGACTGGCATAATAAATAAATATGAATGAATATATTAATTTAATATTATATTATTCAAGATAGGTGATTTTAAATTACTTTGTTATATAATTTTACTTGCATTATCATAACTATGGGGATTGGGGATAAATTTCCTGGTTTAAGGTTTTTTTTAAATGTCAGAATCAAGCATAGTTCTGTTAATTTAAAACGACTTAAACAAATACATGTAGATGCTTGTCTTAATTTTTACTCTTAATTCTGATTTGCCTGGCGATTATATTTACTTAATTAGAATTTTATAAATGGGTAATGAAAAAATTATTTAAGTAGAAAAAATTATTAATGAAAAATTGACTTGCAAAGAGTATTCGCCAAAGTATTTGTATTTCGAAAATATTTTATAGGAATTTAGTATTTATACTTTAAACACATTTGTTCAAATGGTATTTGTATTTATATTCGAATACATATTTTTGAAGATTTGCCCAACCCTGTTTCAGCTAGTCTTTGGTTGCCCCTGGGTCTATTTTTAATTTAAACCATAGAGACAAGATTCGATTAGCATTTAGGAATTGAGATTTGGTGTTTTAGATGATACCCACTTTTAATGAGTTTTTACGGTCTATCAATTTAAAGAAATAACTTTCGCAAAATTTTCTAAAATATACCTTTACGGTTATAACAGAAATTTAAAAAATAGATAAATACATCTCTGAGTCTTTCCCCTCTAGTAATCAAATTTAATATTAGCATTTATATTCTAGATTTGCAGTGTCAATTTATTGTATTAAAGAATTAATTTTATTGTCTTTTTATTTGTTGAAATCAAGTTTCCAGATGATAAATATATTTTCGGATTTAAAAAAAAACAATAAATTGAATTAATAACTATTCAAAATTTAACCTTATTATTTTATGTTTCTACTTAATGGGGTTAATATTTTATGAAATAGTAATTAATGGGGTTAACCTTATATATATATATATGTTTAACAAGATTTTTTTTTACTTAAGCACTTTTACTCCAATCAACACACGAAAAACAATAAAATAAAAAAATATAACAATTGATTATATTTTACCTTTTTTTAGGCTTTTATATCTTTCACAATTTTAAAATAAATATAAATTAGTTGATAATCTTCTCCAAAAATAAAATATATATTTTTTACGATAAAGTTGACTCAATAAAATAACAATATTAATTTTGATAAAGATGAAATGACAAAATAACAATATTCATTTTGATAAAAATTACTTGACAAAATGACAATATTAATTTTGATAAAAATATTTAACAAACCTATACCATTTTTTTATTGTTTCGTTAGTTAAGGTTAGTACCTTAATCAGTTGAGTAACCGAAATTATAGTTATTAACGAAAAAGAAAAAAAATAATTTGTAAAAAATGGTGACACGTTAAAACAAAAACTAATACTTAATCAATTCTCGTTTATATTTAGGCCTGATTCGTAAATTTAAATTCCTTAATTAGTTTAGTTAATCGCTTTATGAAAAGTGTTATAACGCTAAATAAGTTATAATGTCATGTTACGTGAAATTGGCCGAATTTTTGGAAGCTCTAAGCATAAAATCTATCTCATTTGGTATTCATCAATATTTAGTGCTTAATTATTACATTTAAATTTCGAAATTAATTAGAGTTATAAAAACAATTATTACCCTTTGTTTATTCTTAAAACATAACCACGCTTTGTTTCAGATAAGGAAAATGATCTTGCAAAAGTCTGAAATCTTAAAATATATTTTCAATACAGCAAAATGTTGCCTTAAAAACCTTTTAAGGAATAATATATTTCATTTTTTTTTAAATTTTGCAGAGTTGTTAAAGTATCTAGATATAAAAATGTGGTATCTGTATAGATAGATTTTTTTAAAGTAACTTATCTAGATTCTATTTTAGAGATATAGTATCTGTTTTTAGTTACTTAATAAGATACATTTTAATATACTTTTATTTAACGCTTTTTTATATTATAAATAAAAATACTTGAATGCAAAATTTATTTTATTTCATATGAGCACATAATTTAAATATATATGTTAGCGTCAATGTGTTATTTTCGGCAATGTATACATTGCTTGAATTTTTTCGGCAACGTGTTATAGGGGTAGGCAGGGTGAATTAGTTATTTCGGCAAAATGTACATTGCCTAAATAACCAGGCAGCATGTTATTTTTGTAATATTATATTATTAATAATTTTTTCCTTATTATTAATTATTTTTTAAGATTAATATTTTACTTGATTAATATATAACATTTTTTTTAGATATATTATGATATTTTTTAAATATGATATTTTTAAAATATAATATTTTTTTTAGGATGATTTGATATTTTTATTTAATATATTTTTTGAGATAATATATTTTAATTTGTTGATAATTTTTTTAAAATATTTTTTGAGATAATATATTTTAATTTGTTATATTATTTTTTTTAAATATATTTTTTGACTGATATATTTTTTTAATATATATTTTTAAGATGATTTTTTATATATTTACTAGCTAATAACCCGTCAAGAATGACGGGGAATTAGAATTTTCTCCTTTATAACTATTTTTATATCTTTAAAAACTCAATCTATGAAAGGATGATAGATATTAGGGCTCCCAGGTTCTTAAATATAGTCGAGACATCCCGGTGCTTGAGACATTTTCTTTATTGTCAATAAAGGACACAAATATACACCTTGCTCACATTTAAAAGATAAAAGAAAATTTTACCCAATAATTAAGATTTATTACATGGAAACAATGTCTCTTATTGGAACCCCAAATATTACATTATCCACCAGAGCTCCTGTTAGTCAGCATTTCTGTTCACTCCCCACCGCGTGAAGGTAGGAGATGGATTTTAGGGGAGCAAAGAAATGAAAAAAAGAATGAATAAAAGAAGGAAGAAATAGAAAAAAAGAGACAAAGATATGAATTATAAGAAAATATAATAATTGTGTATACCTTAAGACTTAACGATTATGGGGTTCCACATATACATTTGTAACCATATAAAAAAATATAATATAGTAAAATTTATTGATAATGATGATGGTATCGTGTCTATGATGTTTTTGGTCGATGTAGTGTCGTTTTTTTGATTTCATTTCCTTGCTCGTAACTTGCCGTAAATAACTAAAAATAAAACGTGTAAATTGGAAGTATAAAATAAAATTTACTGATGATGATGATGGTATCGTGTCTATGATGTTTTTGGTGGATGTAGTGTCGTTTTTTGATGAATTAACTTGAAGCTACAGAATTTAATACGTCCTGATATACGACATTAAGAGTAAATACTCTATTATCATTCAAAAGTGTGCCCTGGTATTTTGTAGGTAATATTTTTATTTTCATATTTTTTTTAAATCTGCAACGTGTTAGAGCGACATAGAGCTGACCATGGGAAAACACAGGTTCAGGAAGAAAGAGGCCGACATTGTCGAATGTTTGACCTTGACATTTGTTTATAGTGATAACAAAAGCAGGAATTATAGGAAATTGGCGTCTTTTTAATATGAAAGGCAACCGGGAAGCGCTCGGTAAAAGATCAATTCGAGGAATAAAAACGCGATGGCCATTATGCGTCCTTGATAATATTTCAGAATCTATGAAATTATCATGTAAATTTTTGATAAGAAGTCGTGTCCCATTGCATAAGCCTCTGCTGGGATTCATGTTACGAAGAAGCATTATTATTGTCCCAACTTTAAGATTTAAAATATGAGGAGGCATTCCTGATGGGGTTTGAGAATGAAGAAATTCAATGGGGAAATTAAGTAAATCCTCAGGATTATCTGTTTGTATAGAATCAGCGCTAAAATATTTTTTAGAATTTCCTGGTAGTTTTTGAATAATTTCGTTATTTAAATTTAGGGCTATGTTATTTTTAGTGGTTAATATAATTTTTTTTGAAAATAGGTTAATATCAGATATTTGTATGGAGTCTCCATATATTGATTTGATTAATGAATTTTCTAATAATGAATTTGGGATTTCAATCGAATCTGGAGGGAGTAAAGGATTGGAAACATTTGATAAAGATTCTCCAACATTCAAAAGCCAGGAATTATACTCAACATCTTCAGAAGATAACCGCATATTTTCATTCAGGTGGATAACTTTAAAATAAACCCATAAATCAGAAGACTTAAGACACGATTCAATAATATATGCTTTTGAACTGTTTGGAATGACAGGTAAAGTTTGCCTAAAATCGCCGCCCAATAATATAACTTTACCACCGAATGGGAACTATGTTTGCATTATATCTTTAAGTAATCTATCGATACAGCGTAAAGCGTATTTAGTCATCATTGTGGCTTCGATAATAATTAATTTGGACCTTTTAATAACAGTAGCATCAGGGGAATGAAGACTCATGCGAGATACAGAGTTATCAACAATCGGAATAGGTAATTTAAATCCACTATGTATTGTTCTACCCCCTTTTAAAAGAATAGCGGCAATGCCTGTTGTTGCAAACGGTAAAACTATTTGGTTGCGTCCTCTAATGTAGCACATTAGGGTATTATACAAAAAGGTTGTTCCCGATCCATTTGGACCATCAATATAAAAACAACGCTGAGGAAAATCATTATTTTCGATAGATTGAACGATTAAATCAAAGGCTGATTTTTGTAAAAAATTTAATTTAGTAATTAGTTTCAATGCCTCAGCTGCCTCAAGATCATTATTATAAAAATCCTCCTGAGCTATTAAAGTAGGAACAGGCAAATTGAAATTACTACAACGAAAACCATGGTCGTGCAATACTTTTTCTATATCTGATAAGGCCATATTAATTACAATAGAATCTGTATGGGTATGTGCGAAATCTTCTATCATATATTTTTTAAATTTTTCCCAGAGGTTATTTGGATTTTCTGGCTGACAAAAAATACAAATAAAGGCAAAAGATTGACGCAACTGTATGGGCATTAAAAATGTTGACGCTTCTTCCATAAATGCTTCCCATTCCTTGTCATCAACCAATAAATTTCTTTTAAAAGCCGCCTCTTTAAAAGTATTATATAAAACTCCATTTACAATTCTCAAATATTCAAAACTTATGGCGCCAACAACATGAAGTAATAGTAAACGTAGGAAAAATCTCTCGCCGGATTTAGGATCAACAGTATACATCCTTGATAATATATTGTTTTGTCTTTGTCTAAGTTTCCACTTATTAGCGCTGAAAGTATAATGATATGGTATAGTGACATATAAATATTGACGGGCATTAACATCATTTTTATTTAATTCAAACCAGGCAGTTTTATTTAATTCAAACTAGGCAGTTAATGTAGTATTTCTGCTGGCAGATTTCTCTAATGCCTGACGTTCTTGTCCTTCTATAAAATATACCGGTTGATGAAATGGCAAGTGTATTGCTAATCGATTTATACCGTGAGATCGATCATGCATACGATTTTCTAATAATCTCCACATGGCTTCACATGCACTTACATATCGGGCATTTATATGCATTCTAATTTCATCATGAGATTGAAGCGAATTAGTTTTAAGATCTATATTAGCGCAGTCGTATCCTTTGTAAACGTACTTAAAAATATATTTGACGGATTTTATTGATGTACATATTTCAACATTTATGTGTGCATTAAATTTTAATAATAGATATTTGTTATAAGGGATTACGTATCGATTATCAACTGGCTTACCTCCGACATGAATAAAACCCTTATCTCTACGTTGATAAAATGGATATCCATTCGCATTGTGTTGAGATTCTTTTTAAAAATCTTTCGGAAATTTTTTTGTACACGAACCATTTTCCATGCATGGTGAGTGAGGATTCAAAATACCACATGGTCCATGTATCATAAAGCGAGTTAAATATCATATAATCGGGGTTCGATATTTTTATCTGGGATTTCAGCTCGAACAAAATTATCTATACACTCGGTTGTTTCATTTTTATTATTTTCGCTTAATATAATGAGCAGATGAGCATGAGGTAATCCTCTCATTTGAAATTCTATGGTATAAACATACGCCGAACATTTGCCAAAGAAATCTTTTTTAATAAAATCGTGTAATAATTCAGATAATTTTAAATGAAAAACTCTAGCTAATAAATCAGGTCTATCCGAAGGGTTCTTTTATAAAGATTTTCTTTAATTTCCCTCCAATTGGGATTGCATGTAAAAGTTATAAATAAATCAGGCTTACCAAACTTAGAAACGATAGCCATAGCATCATGATATCGTTCACGCATGTTTCTTTCGGACCCCTGAAAAGAAGAAGGCAAAATAACGGCTCTTCCTAGAGGTAAATTAGTATTATCATTTGCTTTAGAAATATGATCCATAAGCCCTGAATATTCCTCTACACGTAATTTTGATTGGTTTAATTTTATATAATTCAAATTATTAGCTTCGACTTGGAGTTAAGAATCAACAACATATTGATGAAATAATCGCCCAGCATAAAGAATAGGATTAAAAATGTTAGCACGAATAGCTAACCTTGATATTTTAAATTGTAACATAGTTATATTTGATCTTGTTCCCTTGTTAAATGGCCCATTAAATTTCATATCCGTATGCCATCCATGATCACCATAAGGAAATAGTAAAGGATACACTATAGGATCTAAATTTGGGCTAAGAATATTTAAGATAACTAAATTTGAATCATCATTTCGTGGAAAAACTTTAACATCACGTTGAAAAGGTGGTTCTCCATCATCGTTATTAAAAATCATTGCTACTTCATCAATAGTAGGAATATTAAATCTTCTTCTATCATTAGCACGATCACGGCGAAAAATCATATTTACCTTTGATATAGGACGGTTTTCTAACCTAGCTTTCATTTCTTCAGCCTTCTCAACCTCACCCAATGTTTTAAAGCTAATAGCATATGGATTTATTTGACGAATTAAAATATCAAGTTTTTTTAATAAATGAATATCACAGGCTGAATTTTCTTTTAAAAGTACACGATTTTCAATAGCCTGAGATGTTTCAAGAACATATAATTGTGCATATTTTGGGGAAACGCCATTAGGGGGATATAAATGTGAAGTTCGATGATAAATTTGACCATGAACCCTAAAACAGTATGGGCCTTTATTTAATAAATTATCATTTTTAGCCCCCATCGAGGCAAAGGCCAAGGAGCTGTTGTATGAGCGGATATTCTGAGAGAAATTTTTATAATAATGATTGTCTAAATTTGAAAGTAAATCTTTAAAAAAATCTGGATATTGTAGAGAAGGCAATAAAACACGACCTTTGAGGCAGCAATTTTTAAATTTTCCATCAGATGGTTTTCAGAAATAAAATTTAATGCATTACAATATGGGCATAGAATATTTAATGGCCCGCAGTAATGTTCAACTTGTTCTTGATTTTCAGTATCTTCAAGATGATTGGATGTTGAAGCAAATTGTTTATTTCCAGTATCTTTAAGATACTTGGATGTTGTAGGATTAGGACTTGGTTCGTTACTTTTCTTGCTACGACAAAGTGCCTGTCTCTTTCTAGCTTTCTCCTTATGTTGATTTATTATTAAAATTTAAAAATATAAGAATTACTCAATTTTATAAAAATAAGTTTAGTTTAAAATATTTATTATTGTGGACATAAAATAAAATTACTAAATATATACTTCATAAACATATTTATAAAAAATAATGGAAAATATTAGAATAGCCCCTCACCTAATAAATATATATTTCGGAATCACGTCTTATAAGATAGGAAAAATCTGATTCCTCGTCATTCTTGACGGGCTATCAGCTAACATACAATACAAATTAAAAAAATATAAAATTTACTCTTGTTGAAGCAATAATGCCTTCTTTAGATTTTGGTAGTATGAAACGTTCCATCGTTTGGTTTTGTTGAATGGTATCTTGTGTAGGAATCTAAAAAAAATAATAAAATAGTATTTATAATAATTTTAAATTACATTGCTTATGAGATAACCTTATAAATAAGTTTTTTAAGGTTATCTCATAGGCAATGAATAAAAGTATTCTTTTATTATCATTACAATTTATAAGTTAGGTGATAGATGGGGGGGGGGGGGGGTTAAGCTTTCATTGATAAAAAAATTCTAAGACAGACAACAATATTCAATATTTTATTGGGTTACAAAACTAATACCAATACAAACCAAAATATAAAACTAATACCACTTAAGCCAATCTCAATAACTGATAAATTAATCTAAAAGTAAAGATATATACATGTTTAAAACAATGTCAATATTATTTACAATTATAGGTCATTACCTCTTGATAATATATTTTATTAACCCATTCAAATAAATAAACCAATAAAATTCTAAGACAGACAACAATATTCAATATTTTATTGGGTTACAAAACTAATACCAATACAAACAAAAATATAAAACTAATACCACTTAAGCCGATCTCAATAACTGATAAATTCATCTAAAAGTAAGGATATATACATGTTTAAAAGCAATGTCAATATTATTTACAATTATACGTCATTACCTCTTGATAATATATTTTATTAACCCATTCAAATAAATAAACCAATAAAATTCTAAGACAGACAACAATATTCAATATTTTATTGGGTTACAAAACTAATACCAATACAAACCAAAATATAAAACTAATACCACTTAAGCCAATCTCAATAACTGATAAATTCATCTAAAAGTAAGGATATATACATGTTTAAAAGCAATGTCAATATTATTTACAATTATACGTCATTACCTCTTGATAATATATTTTATTAACCCATTCAAATAAATAAATCAATAAAATTCTAAGACAGATTCAATATTTTATTGGGTTACAAAACTAATACCAATACAAACCAAAATATAAAACTAATACCACTTAAGCCAATCTCAATAACTGATAAATTCATCTAAAAGTAAAAATATATACATGTTTAAAAGCAATGTCAATATTATTTACAATTATACGTCAATACTATTTTTTAATTGTAATAATAATATTGTAATAATAATAAAAGTATAAAATAAAATTTACTGATGATGTGGTGTCGTTTTTTTGATGTTTTCCTTGCTCGTAACTTGCCGTAAATAACTGGAAATAAGATGTGTAAATTGAAAGTATAAAATAAAATTTACTGATGATGATGATGGTTTTGCTCGATGTGGTGTCTGTTAAAAAATATAATTATTTACTGATGATGATTGAAGGTTTTGCTCGATGTGGTGTCTGTTAAAAAAAATATCAATTTTTGTAATTATTATATTATTATATGTTTTGTAATTGTTTTTTGTATTGAAATTCTTTTTTTGAAAATGGCGGTTCGATTTGGTTTATGAATGCGTGTTTGATATGTTTAAGCTATGATGATTTTTATTGAATATATATATTATAGATTTGAATTCCTTAGCTCTTGTAGGATTATCTGCAAACATTTTTTTGATACTAATGTTCCTTCCTGCCTATTACCTCAAAATACTTTTGAAATGCTTTCCATGATTTATAGGAGATTAAATCCATTTTGCTAATATGATCTAAATTGGCTTAAAATTGCTATGATAGATAGGTAGATAAATTATAGATAGATAGAAAGAACAATATATTTGACATCAATTAAGACAAAATATTTACATTTCAACTTAGAAATATAATGCTATTTAAAATAAAATATAATAATATAGATGGCGCTAAATATCATGGAGATTAAAACTACAATTTAACATAACTTAAATACTTCCGAATTTGTTAATATTAATTAAATATTATTAAGAATCACTCCCTATTTAAGTAGGACAAACGTCCAATAATTAATAAAGAAGTTGAATATTACATAATATATTAACAAAATTATAATTGACTATTATCAGGTAAAGACTATATAATGTCACAGTTGTGACAAGCTTTTTATTATATAAGATTATTTACGTAATTTTATCTAATATATATTTAGATCGCAAATTTTTTAGGTAAAGTGACAAATGTCATAATCGTTATTTTTGATCTTTATTGAGTTTTTTTAAAGTAAATAGGTAAAAATATGTTTTGCAAACATGTTAAATTAATATTTCAGTGAAAATGTACTATAGAAAAGTGACAATTGTCATAATCATTATTTTTGAACTTTTTTAAGATTTTTTAAGTAAATAAGTAAAAATGCCAGTAGTCATATGCTTGTCTCAAAGATTAAGCCATGTATGTCTAAGTATAAACTTACTCAAAGTGAAATCGTGAATGGCTCATTCTTCACTGAAATATTAATTTAACATGTTTACAAAACATATTTTTACCTATTTACTTTAAAAAAACTCAAAAAAGTTCAAAAATAACGATAATGACAATTGTCACTTTTGTAACAGATTAAATCATGGGGAAATTTTCATATATTATTTTTTTTTTATTATTTTCTTAATATTTTTTTTGGGTAGGTCTATAAGTCGAAAGGCTGCATGATACGAAAGGCTAAAAAATAATATTGAAAATAAAAATAACAAAGAAAATGATTAATGTGTAATTTGATTGATTTATTGCTTTTTTTACGAGAAAAATATTTTAATAACATTACATTATAATATATTAAAAAAATGGAAATTTTAAGATCTTTTCAATTTTTTTATTAATTCTTTGAAATAAATTGCGGTTTTTTTTTTATTTAATTTTTATTTTTAATTAAATTATATTTGGTTATTTTAAAAAAATGGATTATAATATTTCAATTTTTTTATTAATTCTTTGAAATAAATTGCGATTATAATTTTATTTAATTTCATT